CTCCAACCTCTTTTTTCCTGTATACAGCATGACAGTATTTATAGGGGCAGATAGCGACGGAGCGCTGTTGGACGCACGCCCACGTTGCCAGATCATGGGCAGTGCTCGTGCGATCGTGGGAGTATCTGGCTCTTCTTTCATTTCTTTATTTCTTAATCATAAGTTGACTGAGCTTTGAACCGGCCATTAGCCTAATTAGCCCATTTATTCCCAATCACCGTATGGGCTTGATTATTTTAATCAATTAGTGGGCCTTGTCACTATTGAGCATGCACGCATAAGCCTGCAGCCATGCAACGTGGCCGTATTTCTTTTAATGGGCTAAGCATGATCAGCTATTAAATGGCTCATTAAGGCCTAGGGTCAGGGTGTGCACGTTAATTATTTTTGCATGCAACTCATGATCAAGCACCATATGTATTATCAGATGAATATTTGACCAAGTACATCGCACGTATATTTCATTAGCACGATGTATTTTTTATGCGCCGTTTCAATATTTCATTTCGTCGATGGAACAAAGCAGAACATTTTCATATAGTCAACATTTTGGTGATCTTAGCATCCCTCGTGACAATTTTATGTTTGCATTTTTTTTGCTAGTGGTGGCGGCATGCATGCGAGCCTTGTGTCCTCTATATTTTCTTCATGACAAAATCTAATGTGTTTCATCATATTTTATAATTGTCGGTTTAATGTGTGCATTATCGACATTCAAAAATATATCATATGCCTATTTTTTCAGTCCTTTATTCGAGCGGTTGATTATATTTTTAATTCATTGTTTAATGATAAAATAGAATTTTACTGTTTTGTATTTATATTTTAATATTTTATATGGTTTATGCATTTTATTTTATCTTGGTTAAAATCCATGTCAACAACCACATTATCTACATCTGAAGTCTAAAATTTCGACGAATGCTTCTATCCCTAGTTAACCATCGCATCCTACAAATCTTGGGGAACATAGGATTTACAATCGTGACGATGGCCTCTATCCCTATGATTAGGATGACTCATATTTAATATGCAGGCAAATTCATCATAATTAGTACGGCTGCTTCCATCCCTATGATGCACCATCAACTAAATTGCGCCAGCCCTGACACTACACGGTAGCACATATCTGAGACTGCATGTCAGTAAGATGTGAGCTTCCATCACCCATTCAAAGTGCACCTTGGAACAACATATCATGCTTCTAACTACGTATCAACATATAGTTCATAAATCTACATCCACAATCCCATACTATGTGTTCAGAAAAGAAAGAATCTTGCATCCGACAGCGAGCATCCATCAGAACGACCCCAAATCTCGAGAGAAAACAACTAAAAGCGCAGCAAATTCATGGAAATTGATCATCTTACCTCTTCATCTCCGTTGTTCACAACTCGTGGGTTCTGGTAAGGCCGATTAATCCCATCTTCAGAACCCCGAACAGCTTTTGAATTCATGCCCGGACACGAAGCACGACGCCAGTTTGCATCAGAGAACCCACGATACTCAATTTCGCGGCTGAGATGCGCCATTTTTTCCAAGGACGGGAGGGAAGCATTCGCGCCACGAAAGATACTATGAAAGACCGAGTGCATCGATAAGAAAGCCTGAAGAAGGAAGGCGTACGTCCTGGGCGTGCGTTCAGGAAGCAGTTAATACGTACATGGAAGCACTTAATTAGCGTTCATTAAAGACCCAGGGCGAGAGGCCAGGTACAAAATCAGATGGCCCTGATTACCCTCATCCTACGGTGCATTAGTAGTCTGATGGATGCATTCTTGCTGTAGTCTGATTTCTAGTGGTGTCCATCATGTAATGTGTATAAGCTCACAAAACCAGCATCTGGCTTCGGTGAAACTAGGATGTAGATCACACATGTACGCACCCATATGTTACCTGCAGCATCACTAATTTCCAATTTGAAATTTCTATGCTTCCAATATAGATGACTTGTGTTGGGATAAGACCGATTTCATGCTTTGAAATGTCCTTGCTTACTAAGCATATTGTATGTGTTTCTTCTGTTTGTTGCTTCGATCTAGATAGTCTGCGGCAATATTACCATGCTTCTTTTCTTATTTGTTGCATTTCATTTTAAACACAACCTTCACGCTAATTAAATTCCACATATATGCTTAATATGAAACATTGGGAGCAAAGGCTAACCATTTTTTCAAGTTTATAACCATCCTTAATATTAATGTCGGGTGTGAAATTTCCCTTTCCATTGTGTAACTATAACATCACTAAATCATCTGCCAATTCAGGTGTATAGTATTTAGATCAAGTGTAATGAGTTGATTTCATGGCTTTGAATAATTTTAGTTCATGTAAACTCGCATAACCCCAAATAGGTTGATGAGATCATTTTGTAGATCAAAAAAACTTGCACTCGGATTTTGGAAGCGGGCATGCTATCCTTGTTGGGGAACGTTGCATGGGCAACAAAAATTTCCTACGCTCATCAAGATCAATTTAGGAGATGCACATCTACAAGAGGAGAGACTGGATCTACATATCCTTGTAAAACGCTAAGCGGAAGTGTTAAGAAACACAGTTGATGTAGTCGAACATTTTCGCGATCCAATCACGATCCGTCCACGAACTCCCGATCAAGTGCCGAACGGACGGCACCTCTGAGTTTAGCACACGTGTAGCTCGGCGACGTCCTCTCCTTCTTGATCTAGCAAGCGAGAGAGAGGGGGTAGATGAGATCGCGACCAACACAATGGTATGGTGGTGGTGGTAGCGGAATTTCGGCGGGGCCTGCGTACCGGTGAAACGTGGGAGGAGTTGGGAGAGGTAATGGGCAAGGGTCGAAGGATAGCTACCCCAACGCCTCCACACCTTTATATAGGCATGGAGGGGGTTGGTGGCTTGCCCTCCAAGGCCCTAAGGTCATTGGCCAAAGGGGGAGGAAGGAAATCCCGCCTTTCCTTTCCCATTGATTGTTATCCCCTTTTTAGGGATCCTGATCTTATCCCTTTGGAATTTGATACTATTCCTTTTAAGGAAGGATCTTGGTGCGTCTAGACCAGGGTTGTGGGGACTTTTCTCACTACCCATGTTCATGTGGGTCCCCCATGCAGGTGAGCCCCATTCCGGAACCTTCTAGAACCTTCCCGGTACAATACCGAAAAAACTCAAACTTTTTTCAGAACCCCGATAACAACTTTCCATATGTGAATTTTTACCTCGGGACTACTCCGGAGCTCCTCGTGATGTCCCGGATCTCATCCGGGACTCCGAATAACCTTTGGAATTTCCACTATTAATATCTCAATACTACCCTAGCGCTACTGAATGCTAAGCGTGCAACCCTGCGGGTTCGAGAATCATGTAGCGGTTGAACCACGATGCCCATATCGCGGGACCTGAATGCCCATATTGATTCCTACATATTCCACGAAGATCTTTATCGGTTGAACCACGATGTCAAGGATTTAGTTAATCCCGTACGCAGTTCCCTTTGTCCATCAGTACGTTATTTGCCCGAGATTCGATCGTAGGTATCTCCACGTCTAGTTCAATCTTGTTACTGGAAAGTCTCTTTACTCGTTCCGTGATACAAGATCTCGTGGCTAACTCCTTAATCACATTGCTTGCAAGCTCATTGTGATGCTGTATTACTGAGTGGGTCCTGAGATACCTCTCCGTCATACGGAGTGACAAAATCTCAGCCTTGATCCAAGTGGGCCCTGTTTCTCTAGAACGAGCGGAGCGGCCGACACGTCGCTCCCCTACCGAAGCTGGCTTGGTCTTATCGATGACACCTGAAAAAATTTCGTGCACGCTGCCCACATGGACCAGCGTATAGAATGACATCCTTTCTAGCAACAAAAACAAGAAGAATGCTTCAAAATGCTTTTGAAACATCCTGTTATTTATTTTTAGCCTTTAGCCTAGAGCACTAAATGTTTTTCATCACAAAAATTTGCACGCTGATAAAGACTCAAAAAATGTTTTTCAAGAAAAACATAATTTTTGAATTTTTTGTTGTTTCTTTCTATTTTACGCACCCGGGAGCGAGAAACATTTCTCTCTGAGGTGCCGGCCAAAAAACATATACGTACATTCTTCTCATGTTTTTTTAGCATCAGTACAGACATAAGCGCTCATATACACGTGCATACACTCATCTCTATAAACGTACACACGCACATTCTACCCTTATGAGCACCTCCGAGAGACTGAGCCGGCATATCATCTTGAGATTTTATGAAGTCACCGTAGGCGCCTTGTAATCGACAGGAATGTCTTCTCCCACTGGCCCCCTTTGATTTGTAGGAATGTCATAGGATTTATATAGGATAGAATTTGCATAGGAAAATTTTCTTTGAGGCTCTTTTGTTTATAGGAATGGATTCCTATTCCTATATAGGATAGGAATCAATCCTTCACATTTTGGAGGAAAAAAACATTAACTAAGATTCAATGAAAAAATTTCTATCCTATGCATCAAATGATATCTTTTTTTATAGGAATTGAGATGCATGTCATCTCACTTCCTATGATTTTCCTATTCTTACAACATTTCTTATAAACCAAAAGAGGCCTGAAAGCGTATCACCGGAATTTTTAAAATAAATTCAGGATAAATGCGAGCATCAGGATTTAAACCCTGATGTGTTGGAAATACCACTATCCACCTAACCATCTCAACTTCTTACAACATTTCTATAAACCAAAAGAGGCATAAAAGTGTATCACCGGATTCCTGAAATAAATTCAGAATAAATGCGAGCATCAGGATTTAAACTCTGATGTGTTGGAAATACCACTGTCCACCTAACCATCTCAACTAGAGATTGGTTCGCTACATTCCTCTCATGTGCCAACCAAAAACATCCTTTAGTAATGCAGGTGGTATACGATTAATATTTACGGACACACTTCGTCTAACACAACAAAAGGATGCTACTTTGTCCATTCTACAGCGCAGTTTGGTTCATGTAACTACCTACAAACGTCAACCTCTATGTACTACTACCCAGATTCTACAGCGCTTTGTCCTTGCCGTCAGCCAAGGACTCCGCAGCATCACCCACAGCGCCCCTGCGTGCAGGAAAAGAATCAACTCTCGTCACATCGAGATCGCCTTCCTCCTCGTTTCTCCATTCGTCTTCCTTGCCCTTGTCAAGGCCCTTCCTGCTGAGCATGCTCTTCAGGTTATGAGCGGCTTTCCCTGCATGTTTCACCATATGCGCCGCCTTCTTCCTCAGCTGTCCCTTTGTCGGGCTCTCGTCCCCGGCCCTCTCGGGGCTGGAGTGCGCGTCATCTGACCTCCGCTCCATGCTGCTGCTCCCCGCGTCTTCGTCGACGACATACGTTACCGACACCCTGCTTTCTCCGACAGGCCGTATGTTGGGGTGCGGCGTTTCGCACGGAGAGGTTTCTTCGTCATCGCTCACGTTCTTGGAGTTCTTGTTGTGGCGCATAGCTCCAGCCAGTTTCACCAAACCCTTCTTCACCTTGCGAAGGTGGCGATGCGATTTGTTGCCGCTGGCTGGTTCTTCGGTGCTGGAGTTGCTTGTCTGAGATTCTGACACCGATGACCTGGGGCTATCGCTGCAGCCATCGTTTTCCCGTAGTATTTGGGAGTCCTGGCACCGCGCTCGCCCCTTCCGAGGTTCCCAGGTAGCAGCGACATCGCTGCCTGGCCGGTGTACCCAGACTCCAGCCTTTTCCAGTCCTTTGATGTCCACAGGTTCATATTCATCAGTCATATTCCGGTATCCTGCAGAAGATGCACTCTCGGTGTTGGTCTTCGAAGAAAAACTAGACCCTGGTGTGCCAGCTTTCCCCTCCTTGGGTGTTCCACACAGTTCATCTTCGTCACTAGGTACCTGCAAGCATGATAGAGCATGTGTGAATGACTAGCTCGCATTAAAAATCTAAAATTTGACCTGTTCGTGTTCTGAGCTTAAAAGTCTAGTAAAGTGAACAACCCAGCGGAGCTGTGAGCATTTCAGCCTGCTCTAGCTAGCCAGCTGGTTGACGCCCAGTTCTCCCATCCAGAACAAACAAATAATCCAAAATCTCAAATCTGTTCTCACCTTTCCATTTTCATCTTCAAGTACCGTGACAGCTATATGAACCCTCCCTGTCTTTATATGCTTTAGTGGAATCCACATATCGTGTCTTTGTCCTCCTCTCAGTTTATTGATACTGATTGAACAATTGCTGCATGAAAATCGTCATCAAGAAATAAGAATGCCAAGTATACGCAAAGCATGTAATCAATCGTACAATAATTTGAATGATTGCAAGAGATGTTATGGCTTTGTTGAAGAGACTAACCCAAGTGGGTCATCAAAGATATGGTCCTTGTCTCGAACTTGAAGAGAAAGAAGATTGGATGATTCCCATGAAGTAATTGGTATCTTGAACTGCTCCAGCCATTTGGGGTTGAGAGTTTTCTTATGGATCTTTGTCTGGAAACGGTATGGTCCAAGCTGGCCTTTCACATACGGGTCCGATAAACCTGCGCATCAGTTCAATGAGCATTTCACCGAGAATCGTCTAAATATGTAGTCACATTTTCCTGAAAGAAATGTTGAGTCAATCTTGGTGTCGAGAACATACCATTTGGATCAGAAGGTTTCATATCAGCCCCCTCCATGATCTCTACCTTGGCATGCGCAATAGGTGGCTTCTCATCAACAGTAAACCAATTATCTAAAACATAATAATAGATGCAAATCAATTCCAGACAGCAGAATAAATTAGTCAGATCAAGAACAAGTTGAAGCACAACAATTAGTTCATGTCATTTACCTGTAGATTCCGACTCTGAGGCAAACTTCTCCATATCAATAACTAGCATGTTAGGCTGTAAAAGAAATTTTACAGAACATTGTTTATCGTGTATACAAAAAGAGACCAAGAAACTACTCAATAAATTCATACGAATGCCCACCTGTTCTGTGGCATTCTGTTCTACACATTGCTAGTATATACAGAAAAATAAAGTTAAAAAATACATGCTTGTTTGAAAATGCATGACTTCTGTAATCTAACCTCAACAAGGGTCTGTCCAAAGGCAACATCCAACATTCTGTCCTGAAAAGTTGAATACATCAAGGGAAATCAGTACCCTCAATGAAATGTAATGACAATTAAATAAAGTAAAAAAGCACATCGAAAGGAGGACTTACAAGCCATCCAGAAATTCCTGGAAGTTCAGTCACGTCAAGCCCATGACTAAATAGCGGCTTCACTGTCATCTGGAAGTATGGAGGCTCAACAAAGCACACTCGTACACGCCCAATAAAGGGCCACTGTTGAAGAAACCTCACACCAACAAGGACCTATACACAAATTCAGACATGCCTGGTGAGCACAATGCAACCTAAAGTATTAAAAGCCCTATCTTATTGAAGCCGAGGAAACTATATTGAGTGTCCCTTATTCTAGTGGATTGTATCATCCCATTTACATTTTGCGGGGACATCATTTTTTCTTGTCCACGCATTTAGTCTAGACCCAACCTTATGAGATGTTTAATCACAACAATTTTTCCTTAAGATTAAGAGTTCAAAGGATATTAAAAGAATGGACTTCACCCTCCCACTTGAACAATAGTGCGCCTACTTAGCGTAAAGCATGTAGGTCATAAATCTCAGTTAGTTGCCTACCTTGCCTTCAATATGCATGCCAGTTATATGCATGTTTGCTGTAATACCAAACCCTAATCTCTTCCTTAGTTGTACAGCCATCCTTGCATCCATATCATCTGCAGCAAGGAAGTTCATTCCTAGCTCCAGAACCTGGAACATCGTATGTTAATTTTTATAGATTTATGCAGTGAGTACCAGAGCAGACATCTATATGAAAGGTATCGCGTTAACACACCAGATGGTCATCATCAGTTGATTGACTGACGACCCTGATATCTGTAAACATCGGCGGATTCCGACCCAAGTAAAGGCTTTGGATCTCAGCTTTCCTCTGCACATATAATAAGTATGTCATGGACAACCAAGAATACTCCTAAGACAGCCAGTAGCTTGTTCTCCTAAGAGGCACGTGAAAAAATAAGCAAACTGAAAGTGTGTGTGTAAAATCCAAGCTTACTGCGGTCCATGGTTTGAACTTGCTTATGAACCAGGGGAATATGGGCAAAAGGAACTGCTGGGATGCAACCCTTTCCATGCAAACTGGCCACATCTTCTCAACAGCATAATTTAGCCACCGCACTGTCTCTGCATCAGAGAGGAGCTGTTCCAGAAATAAAGTGAGCTGAAGCTAGTGAAAGGGGGCTCGTGATCAACATGAGAACCGAAAGACTTGATAAAAAAATTACACCTAAGAAGTGCATACAGGGAAGATATCACTGCATGAAGGTACAGTAGCCTACCCTTCTTTGGTTGGCACTTTTCTTTTCCTCAAACTGTAATCGCTTCTTCAGTCTCATCGTGTACCGTGCATTTACCTGATTTGGAACATATCAGAAGCCATGGATGCTATGAAGGAAATAAAAGGAAGATCAACAAATGAAAAAATGGGATATATATAGCGTTACACTATACCATGTGATCAAATTCATATGAAATTCTTTCTGTTCATACTACAGATGTGTAGTATGGCATTATTTTCCAATTTTGTTTATGAAGAAGGAGACCCATTTTTCTGACTAAGTATAGTTTTTTTGGGGTGAAAATGACAAGAACATAAAATGGAATGATTGTGGAAAGTAATAGAACAAATCGTTATACATTTTGTGATCATTCAATTGACAAGGGGGCACTTGGTTCAATGCGACACATTGTCACTTCTTCAGTGTGGACAGCCACAAGTTTTGGGTTCCAAAATCTGTCATACAAGTTCCGGAATGTCGGGATAGAATACACAATATGTGAAGGAAGTGTGGAAGAGGCAAAACTTTGGCAGGAACAAAACCGTAGCCTAGGAAAGTCAAACTTGATTAACTTGAGCGTCGCATTGTGTGCCCCGAAAAAAGCAACACACTCCAAAACAGTATATCTTACCCTTGGAAATCTAACCTATGAAATTAGTATTATTATTAGATGGTAAGCGCAGCTGTAATATGCATCTTACCTAAGAGAAACTCGACTCATGTTAGTGAAGAGAATGGTTCAACTGTTTCAAACATACACGCATCTCAAGCAAAACCTACTTATAAAAATGCTCCAATGCATCAAACAAAATATAATTAATGTGGAAACAGCGCAATAGGATACCTGCATAACATTTGCACAGCACAAATACAGATGGTGACTAATTCTAGTAACTAATGCAGTCATCTACTGAATATGAAGTTTCATGGGACTGGACAATGATACTATTTGAGTTGACATGTAGACAGCATGAATGTTCTGCTTCTATGGAACTTTTGATGAAAAGGCTAAGTCACACAACCATTCAAGAAACAAATAACCAAATCCACATGAAGCAGTCATATCCTGAATGAGGAAATACAGTTACAGACAATAAAAAAAAGTCTTTATCCCAGTAAAATATAGATGGAAGATTGACCAGTAATCATGTAAACCACTCCATATGTACGGAGTGTCCACTAAGATGTGTTCATTAGTCACTGCGAGCCAGTGATATGGCTCTGAACATTTAAGTATACAAGAGACGTGTCTGCGCCACCAGCTAATTAACTGCTATGTGCTCTGCTGCTCATGGTTCTATCTTTTTTGCCAATTTTTTGACGCAAGATATTGTTCAAGTTACTTGAAGAGTAATAAAATTCTGCTTGTATAGCATAAATTTTAAAAGTTGAGATACTAGATTTTAACCAAATAAAAACAAAAATAAATTGCTTTGATTAAGGCTTGCCTTTGTGCATGTGCTAACCGCTGCACCATCTCTGTCTTCAGTTAGACATGTGTTATCACCCCTTGCATCATGGACCATGTTGGCATCCACCAGTGGCAGAATGCAAATATGGTCCAATGATCAATGCCCTTACAGTCAGTCATATCTGGCATTCCATTATTTATTTTTGTGAGGATTTCTTCTCCAAGAGTTGGTGCTGTGATCACATCCAAAATGTGCTAAAAAAGCTGTGCATAGGCAATAAAGTGTCCCTTGTGGAGAGCTCATATACTATATTGTGAGGAATGTCCACATCCCAAAAAAGCATTATGTATTATCTACAAGTCCCTCAACGGCTCCACCATCTCTATGACCTCACTCTTCCTAAGCAAGGCTTCTTGCTTAAGCTAACAAAAAAGCCAAGAGGAAGGCAACTTTTCCTTGGCTTGTAACCCAGTCGGCCACACAAACCCCATTCAATGTACAATGTTTAGTTTTCCAACAGTAAGTAAAAGAGCTGACAGCTTCGAAAAAGGAAGTAAAACGACTTGAGCACGGTCTCAGAAAAATATCCGAACATGGGCCTTAATGTTCCTACTATGGCAGTCACCCCTTGATGGTTTTATTTTTGAGGTCTGATAGTTTTTCTTCTTTTCTGAATGACCATCACATCAAGTACTCTTATAAGCAAATGAGAAATTTCAACGGATCAGGCTTCCCGATTCCACGCACCAAACTGAAGGCTCCATGTCATGATAGCAACTTGGCATCAAGACGAACACTCAGTCAAATGTGAAGTTACAACAGCACAGCGATGGAGCAGAGGAAATTATTAGCAGCCGGGCAGCAGACAATTTGTTTAAAATTACTACCGCAGAACCAAACTCGCTTCTGGACGGGTTGGACGGGTTGGAGCCCCATCTGGAGCCCCCAGGAACAAGCAGATTACCATACGTAGCACAAAATCAATTCGACATTCGGGAACTAAGGGAGGAGTGGATTAAGCCAACAGGGATCATGGCGCCCACCTCGTATGGAACCAAATCAATGCAACGGAAGAGCGGGGAAGCGGTCAGGAAGGAGGAGGGGTAGGTAGGTAGGTGCGGTGCGGCGTGGTAGGGAAAGAGTAACTCACCGCGAAGATGTAGACGAGGGCGAGGAGGAAGAGCGCCGGGTGCGCCCACCCGGCGTTCCCGGCGGCCCAGAGCGCGGCCAGCACCAGCGCGACGTGGTGCACCACCGTCACCTCTGTTATGTCCATGGAGGCCTCCGCCGGCGAGCGCGCGGAATGGAAGAAACGCGCGCGCGCGTGCTCCGCAGGGGAGGGAACAGGGGCCGGTGCGGTGGGGTGGGGGCGAGGAGGCAGAAGGTGGGGAGGGACGGGGGCTAAAATAAATGAACCCGAGGAAGACGACGCGGCAGCCGAAGCCTCTGCTGTCGCCTCTGGCGCAGTAGATGTGCCGCCAGGCGGACACCGGCCGCTCTCGGGAGGCGGCGGCGTAGGAACGTGGCGGGCGGTGGCGGCCAGGCGAGGTCACGTGGCGCGGGCGCGGGAGCTGCGGTGGGGCTCGACGGGCCCCCCGTGAGTCCGTGACCCGCTCTGGTTTGCTTGCTTGCTTCCGGGATCTGATCTGATGGGATCGGACGGAGTTTTGGTTTCCCGTCTCCGTTTCCCTCCCCGGCTAAGCATCTGACGGGTTGGGAATGCGTTATTTGCTGATGTAGCGGCGCGTGTTTGTGGGGGGAGTCGTTGGGTCCAAATTGCCGATTGGTGACGAATTTCAACGCGCGTAGCATGGGAGGAAACTGTCGTCGACCATCGGGCCGCACCGAGTAGCAGCACTAGCAGGCGTCGGTTGAACAGAGCAGTAGTAAAAGATGTTGTGCTTGGACGACTTTTTTCGTCTACTACAAAACTAAACTCGGTTCCTAATTGCGATAAGCAAAAGGAGCCGCCAACGTGTGCAGTAGGACACTACTACGACCACGACCACAAATTAAAAAAAGAGGCACGGGTGCGGGTAGGTCCTCTGGCATTTTGATCCAAGTGGATCGGGCAACAATTTGACTGAGAGGTATGGGTCCTAAAGAAAGTAGAAGAAGCTCTCTGATCATCCTCGACATCGAGAGCAGGGTTGCACGTTATGCGTGGGAAACTTTTTGTGTTGCGCCACTGGTGAGTACTCCTACTGCTAACATGCACTTTTATGCCGTATTTAGCCTGTGCTACTGATTTGCCAGGGTGCCTACTGCCTACTTTTCACGGTGTTATTCTCTGTTGCTTCCTTCATGTCAAAGCGTTTTCTTTCTATGAGAGGAATGTCAGTGCACTTTGATTGTGAAAATATAACAAAACTACGGAAAAAATAAAAGGAATGACACAACTCATGGATGCAAAAAATGTAAACGAAATCCAGAGGTGTTCCGTAAAAGCTGAGCAACATTGGGTTTTTTTACGGTGTGGAACTTTTGAGAAATCTCTGTAGGGCACGTCTTTTTGAAAAGAAATGTTCATTGTGCGGTTCTACCTTTCTTCATGTGATTGATTTGTTGTGAATTGTGTTTTTCTTATTAAAAGAAGACGCACACTTCAGCATGCTGGTTAATTGGGACAACCTGCTTCACAGACGATTGATCCTGTCTACGCCCATATACTATGGCGTAGGCTCATAGCTCATCTAGATGTGTTCATGTTCGTCTCCTTCAGGGGAGCTACGTAGGAGTAGTTGGATGTGATTTAACAATAGAGTTTTTAATGTTCTTCAATTTATTAGTGCAATGGCCCATGTGGAAGTAGCATGGATGCAAGCGGGGCGGGATAGCAGACAATTCCATGGTATAAATGTAGTTTTAATTTTGAGCAAGTGATGAGCAAATCTCTACTCCTAATGAAGCAGTTGATGAATAGTCTCCACGATTTATTTTTGCTGAGTTTTTTTCGTCTCTCCTCCCACCACCCCCTCCCATCCTGGTCCATCGGTTTATTTTTCTCTCCACTCTTTATTACAGCCAGAACTTTCCTAACATATAACAAATCACGGATCTAACTTCATTAAATTATGCAAATCAATTGATTCCTTTTATTGGTTCAATTTGTCTTAGGAAACAAATAACAGATTTTCAGGAAATAAATAATATATTTTGATCCAACTTTCCTAACTTATCTAAATCAATTGATTTCTCTCGTTAGTGAAATTTGTTGTAGGAAACAAATAACAGACACGTCACAAACTTTCCTCCCAATAAATAGTTTCTTAATATTTGCAAACTTTCCTAATCAGACACGTCACAAACGGGCAGGTACTAATATCACGTTACCAAACAATAAAATCCCATTTGCATAGAAATCAGTTCAAAATCCTAACTTTCCTAAATTTTTACGTTTCCTTGATAACAACCAATATTTCCTATGTTTTTCACCTATAGAAGGAAATCACCCCTCCATCGATATTAGCATTTTTTTGGAATGAGATCTTCAGGTTATGTTTTTTTGCGATTCTTTTCAATTGTGACCTCTCCTTCCGCTCCGGCTCCTTCTCGTATAAACACCTCCACCACAGCCAGCTGACGTCACCCCAGACCTCCTGCCTCTCCACACCTTCTCCTCGTACTCCATCGACAATCCCTCCGCCATGTTTGTCCACGGCAGTGTCGAGGACATGGCGCAGCAGCGTACCAGTGGTAGAGCAGCGCATAGCAGCAGGAAGCAGCACGCAACAGGCGAGGCAAGCGGCCGGCGTGGCTAAGGGGGCGGCCGGCAGAAGATGTGAAGGAAATATGCCCTAGAGGCAATAATAATGTTATTATTTTATTTCCTTATATCATGATAAATGTTTATTATTCATGCTAGAATTGTATTATCCGAAACATAATACTTGTGTGAATACATAGACAAACTAACGTCACTAGTATGCCTCTACTTGACTAGCTCATTAATCAAAGATGGTTATGTTTCCTAACCAAAGACATGTGTTGTCATTTGATTAAAGGGATCACATTATTAGGAGAATGATGTAATTAACATGACCCATTCCATTAGCTTAGCACCCGATCGTTTAGTATGTTGCTATTGCTTTCTTCATGACTTATACATGTTCCTATGACTATGAGATTATGCAACTCCCGTTTGCCGGAGGAACACTTTGTGTGCTACCAAACGTCACAACGTAACTGGGTGATTATAAAGGAGCTCTACAGGTGTCTCCAAAGGTAAATGTTGGGTTGGCGTATTTCGAGATTAGGATTTGTCACTCCGATTGTCGGAGAGGTATCTCTGGGCCCTCTCGGTAATGCACATCACATAAGCCTTGCAAGCATTGCAGCTAATGAGTTGGTTGCGAGATGATGTATTACGAAACGAGTAAAGAGACTTGTCAGTAACGAGATTGAACTAGGTATTGAGATACCGACGGTCGAATCTCGGGCAAGTAACATACCGATGACAAAGGGAACAACGTATGTTGTTATGGGTCTGACCGATAAAGATCTTCGTAGAATATGTGGGAGCCAATATGAGCATCCAGGTTCCGCTATTGGTTATTGACCGGAGACATGTCTCGGTCATGTCTACATTGTTCTCGAACCCATAGGGTCCGCACGCTTAAGGTTTCGATGACAGTTATATTATGAGTTTATGAGTTTTGATGTACCGAAGTTAGTTCGGAGTCCCGGATGTGATCACGGACATAACGAGGGGTCTCGAAATGGTCGAGACATAAAGATTGATATATTGGACGACTATATTCGGACACCGGAAGTATTCCGGGTGATTTTGGAGAAAACTGAAGAGCCGGAGGGTTACCGGAACCCTACCGGGAGAAGTAATGGGTCATATGGGCCTTAGTGGAGAGAGAGAAGGGAGCCAGGGTGGGCCGCACGCCTCCTCCCCCCTTAGTCCGAATTGGACTAGGAGGGGGGGGGCCCTTTCCTTCTCCCTCCCCACCTCTTTTCCCCTCCTAGTAGGAGTCCTACTCCTACTAGGAGGACTCCTCCTGGCGCGCCTATAGGGGCCGGCTGGCCTCCTCCCCTTGCTCCTTTATATACGGGGGCAGGGGGCACCCCTAGACACACAAGTTGATCCACGTGATCGTTTTCTTAGCCGTGTGCGGTGCCCCCTTCCACCATACTCCTCGATAATATTGTAGCGGTGCTTAGGTGAAGCCCTGCGACGGTAGAACATCAAGATCGTCACCACGCTGTCGTGCTGACGGAACTCTTCTCCGACGCTTTGCTGGATCGGAGTCCGGGGATCGTCATCGAGCTGAACGTGTGCTAAAACTCGGAGGTGCCGTAGTTTCGGTGCTTGATCGGCCGGGCCGTGAAGACGTACGACTACATCAACCGCGTTGTGCTAACGGTTCCGCTATCGGTCTACAAGGGTACGTACATCACACTCTCCCCTCGTTGTTATGCATCACCATGATCTTGCGTGTGCGTAGGAAATTTTTTGAAATTACTACGTTCCCCAACAGTGGCATCCGAGCCTAGGTTTTATGTGTTGATGTTATATGCACGAGTAGAACACAAGTGAGTTGTGGGCGATATAAGTCATACTGCTTACCAGCATGTCATACTTTGGTTCGGCGGTATTGTTGAACGAAGCGGCCCGGACCGACATTACGCGTACGCTTACGTGAGACCGGTTCTCCCAACGTGCTTTGCACAAAGGTGGCTAGCGGGTGTCAGTTTCTCCAACTTTAGTTGAACCGAGTGTGGCTACGCCCGGTCCTTGCGAAGGTTAAAACAGCACCAACTTGACAAACTATCGTTGTGGTTTTGATGCGTAGGTAAGATTGGTTCTTGCTTAAGCCCGTAGCAGCCACGTAAAACTTGCAACAACAAAGTAGAGGACGTCTAACTTGTTTTTGCAGGGCATGTTGTGATGTGATATGGTCAAGACATGATGCTAAATTTTATTGTATGAGATGATCATGTTTTGTAACCGAGTTATCGGCAACTGGAAGGAGCCATATGGTTGTCGCTTTATTGTATGCAATGCAACTGCGCTGTAATGCTTTACTTTATCACTAAACGGTAGCGATAGTCGTGGAAGCATAAGATTGGCAAGATGATAACGATGCTACGATGGTGATCAAGGTGTCATGCCGGTGACGATGGTGATCATGACGGTACTTCAGAGATGGAGATCACAAGTACAAGAAGATGATGGCCATATCATATCACTTATATTGATTGCATGTGATGTTTATCTTTTATGCATCTTATCTTGCTTTGATTGAAGGTAGCATTATAAGATGATCT